TGTGTGTGTGTGTGTGTGTGTGTGTGTGTGTGCGCGTGCGCGCGCGCGTGCGTGCGTGTATGTGTGTGTGTTTTCTGTTCTACAGCTCTGTCAATTACTGTACCGACGCTTATCTGATAAGAAGTTTGACAAATTATTGCAGATGATTTATTTAAATTTCGTTACCTCTTTTTTATACAATGTATATGTCTTCTTCGAGCGAGTGAAAAAGGGAGAAAGAAGGGGGGTAGGGGCAGTGAAAGAGGGATTTGGAGAGAGAGGGAGAGAGAAGAATAAGTAGAAGACAAATACAGAGAGAGAGAGAGAGAGAGAGAGAGAGAGAGAGAGAGAGAGAGAGAGAGAGAGAGAGAGAGAGAGAGAGAGCATAAATATTGCTATTTGTTGACAGAACTGAACTGAAAACCTGTTGATATGGCTTGATCAGTTTCAAAATTGGATAGTCTATGATGAAAGGGAGATCATTATATTGTTTGGAAAGAAGGAGAGGGGGTTGGAAGAGGTATTTACTGTGGCTTATTGCAGTACTTCTTCTCGCACCTCTGCTAAAGCTCAGCGTATTCGACTTAGACCTTCTTCTCTTAGTGCGGTTGATTTTACGTAAATGGCCGTTTGCTGTGTCTAGTCGCCGTTGAGAGTTGAGAGACTCCGAAGACTCCAAGATCTCTTTGACTAATACTAATACATGTATAGGTGATGAAACCTGATTGTCGCTGTTTTGAATCGAAGCTTTAATAGTGGTGTTTCCTCCTGCTTTCGCCCTAATGACCTCAAAACATCTTGAGCATGGTATACAATCTTTAATTAGGGCAAAAGTTATGACTTGGGTTATGTCTAGGGTCGAGGGATTTTAGAATGAAGAAGTACGTGCGGCGTAAGTTTTGGCTCTAAATTATTTTTTTAGATAGTTGTTGTGAATACGGTAACGTAGTGTGACCAACATGTGAGCGTACAGAGCGCAAATCCGAGTCTGTTTCACCCTTCCATGAATATAATTTCCTCTCTGCCTGGAGCACCAGTTGGGGCCAGTACTAGTCGTGTATGGTTAGACTCCTTGCCTCACGCTCAAAGGACGAGAGTTTGATTCCTGATCCTGGCGGGTTTTATAGTACGTAAGTACCTCCATCCTTTTCTTGCGCGTATCGTCTCTTAATGGCTGGATCGACGCAGCCCGTCTCCGAAATACCCCCAGAATAGTTGATTAGGGCGTAACATGCAGTTAATCATACTTATTTTTTGTCATGTCGGCTAACCGCAGATTTTACTTCGAGGCGAACCGGTGTCTACGGTGTAGTGGATAGGCTCCACGCCTTCGCACGCAGGAGACCTGAGTTTGATTCCCGTGTTGGGAGCTTTTTATTCTTTTTTTTTTTCGAGTATGTCCATCTGTTTGCCGGGATGCTGTAACCCTCTCAGCCCTGGTTGGCGCTGACATGCAGGGCTTAAGTCTGCCTCCTAAATGATCTGAGTGGTGTCGATAGGGGCGTAAAACTTCTACAATTACTTTGAAACAGCCTGTACTATGTGTGGGAGAGCCTTTCACTGTCACAGGAAAACCCACTGAAATTGTCTTGTAAAAGTATTTCGTCATTCCAAATTTCCTTTCACTGTCGTGGGAACGGTGGCTCGCGCACCGGGTATCGAATGACACCGAATCATACCACCGCTCCGCTCTTGTCACGCGTTAATTAGAATAACTGCATCGTAAAACGGCTTCTCCTCCTCCTCCTCCTCCTCCCCCACCCTCTCTCTCTCTCTTTCTCTCTCTCTCTCTCTCTCTCTCTCTCTCTCTCTCTCTCTCTCTCTGTCTCTCTCTGTGTCTCTGTCTATATGTGTATCACTCCCCCTCCCTCTGTGTGTGTCCCTACCTCTTTCAGCTGTCCCCCCCTTTCAGCTTGCCGTCTGTCTGTTTGCCTGTCTGTCCATCTGCCCCCCCCCCCTCCCCCTCCAACCTTGTGCAGTGACCGAGGGGCTGTGTGTGGGTTTCAGTTTCACTGCGTTAATGGCAGCACAATGTGTGCGTACAACGAGTCACGAGTGTCGTCGCCCGATACGTTTCGTAGAACTGCTGACCTGCGTAGATTCTGTCGTACCGTTTCGCTGGGATGCCTGTCATCGATTTTTGGCGACCAACCACGTGCAGTGTCCTCAGCCTCTCTCCCTCACTTTCATTGTGGACTTGTCGCTTGACCCTGTGCAGTGTGATTGCACGATGGTATTGGTCGTGTTCGAGTGCTTTTTAAAAAAAATTTTGTTTTTGTTTTTGGTTAAGGGCTAATCGCTTTCTTTCTTTTTTATCTTTTCAATTCCCCACAACCTAAAATAACCGTTTATTGTCATTAATTAGTAATTTTGCGGACTGAAGTTACGAGTCTTTATGATTTTTCGATGAGTTTCAACCTTTGGACGCGGATGTGTTTTTATGTAATTGTATCTTTTTTGTACTCATTGATTTTGCATCTTCGAAATGTAGTATATCTTTAAATTACTGTCTGCGCGTAATGATTAAGGCTCAATGAAAAACAGTGAATATGTATCCGTGACAACGAATCTCAATCGTGAACGTTTACCGTGGTGTTACCGTACTCGATGCAGAAGAGACCCTTTTCTTGACTGTGGGACTATTTGATTTCTCCAAAAAAATCCATCAATCCTTCGTGAATGTGTGCGCGCCGTGCGTGTGCGGAATGCGTACATGTCGCTTTTATTTGTCTTATCCCCGTCCTTAAACTTTTTGTCAAGAAATGTTACAGGCTATTTTGCATGCGTCCTTTTCTCGCGTGGACATGGTTTAACTCTTCATGTGCCACGAGATGTCAGCACACAACCAAACGGCGTGGAGAATGACACTGATGTATCAGTGGTTGGTACAGAAAGAGTAAACATGGTTGGAATAAATATAAATTTGCTTTAAATGACAACACGCCATGCTGCAGTCTTCGCTTAGAAGTTATTTATATTTTGTCTTATTAATTTCTCGGTCTGGGATGTGCATGGACATTTTTCATGAAGAACAGGGCGGATTTTGAATCAGTCAAATGCTATAAAAGGTGGCGAGGAGAAAGGGGGAGGGGGTGGGGGTGGAGGGGGTCTTTTATCGTTAAATAACGTCTATATTTTTTTCAATTTCACCGCAAATCTGAGAATGCCCCGCCTTGAAATTAATCAAACTTCAGTTCCAAATAATTTTTGTGTGCATATTGACAGGTTGGCTTTGACAGATAGTATCAATTTCTCTCGTTCTGGATTTGACATGTAGGTGTTATAGGATCTGTCTGTGACAATTCTCAGATCGTTTACCCGTTTTGCTAGATTAATTGGTAATTAATACGTTTGCATAGAGTGTGGTCAGGATTTGCGTATGGCATTGTCTGATCACCGTGGATTTGAAAGTGTGTAACTCATTTATTTCGAACAAGTGGACTGGATGTATATATGTTGGGTGGTAAAAGTGTGTCCTGTCTACAAGATTGTCAACGATTCCCAAGCAGTTTGCGTTCGTGAAGTGGATTTGTTACATTCGACTCTGATACTTGAGAAACAACACTTGAATATTACGAGTCAAAAGTGTAGCGGGCAGTAACTCGGGTAACAGACGAACTTAGAACTTTGTTTTCTCCCTTGAGGAAAGGGCCTTATTTGAGCCTGCTGTGCCGACGTTGTTTGTCCATTCTCCCCATGATGTTCCATAATGCTGTGTCCACAAAGACGGTGAGTTTTTGTTTTGTTTTCTTCTTGTTGTTTTTTAATGGTTTTATCTGTTTGTTAAAACTTTTGTTTTTTAAACGTTACACCCTTCTACACACAAAGTATGCCGAGACAAAAGTGACGCACGTTGGCCCGAAAAGGACGTGTGGTAGGGATGAAATATTCTAGAAACATGTACCCCCACCCCACCCCACCCCCAAACCTCGAACGTCCTCAGACTGATCAGGTTTGCAACTGTCTGCTCTGCTGCGTAGGCATCAGTTATTATAATAGTATTATGGCATTACTTTTCCAATTTCCCGAAGTTGTGTGTGTGTGTGTGTGAGAGAGAGAGAGTGTGTGTGTGTGTGTGTGTGTATGTATGTGTGTGTGAGTGTGTGTGTGTGTTTGTGTGTATGTGTGTGTGTGTGTGTGTGTGTGTGTGTGTGTTATTTTGGTGTAAATTATATACTGACGATGAAAAAAGGGGAGGAGGGTGTTTCAGTTCTTGTCTTTGGGATTTTTAAAATGACTTCTGGGTCTTTGTTTATCAAAACCACAATAACATTTGATCATTGTCACCCCAGAAAGATGGTGGGTTTAACTCAGCATCAGAGAAATCGAGCCATCGGCATGCTCCGCGCGTTTCTGCTGTTGCCAGGACATTCAACGTCACCTGGAAGACTGGCGTCTTTTCAAAGAACCCTAGTGGGGGGTTGGAGAGGTGCTCCTGGTTTGGTTTGCTCCTTCTTTCCTATCAGACATATGTCGTCCTTATTTCTCCTTCTTTTTTTTTCCTTTTTGTGTGTGTTTATGTTACTCCTCCTTCTTTTTATGTTTGTTACTCGCTTGTAACAGCTCAAATCTTCGGCACTTATATGACCTTATTGTGTTGCAATTCCCGTAAGACTTACTTGAGGGGCCGGGGG